GAAAAAACATGAGATCGCTTCTGGGTACGAAGGAGTTTGGACACCAGGTGGTTCGTCATGGATACAACCACCATGGAGTTGGTGTTCCAAGGAGCACCAAAGACCTATGGCTGCTTTGCCCTATCCCTCAAGTTTCGGACAATCCCTAGTCTAAGTCGCTTGACATCCAACGCTGCCCCACTGAAAGCTTTCTCCTTGACATTGTGTCCGGATCTGCAGGTGTGGATCAAATGTACGTCCCAGTGGCCGACGTGTATTTGGTGCCACCTCAATCCACACGAACTAACACTAGCCCGTTTCAGGATCTACATTGTCAGGTGCGACCCAGGTAGCAAGGTCCGTTCTCTGAATTCCCAACACTTGCAACCGCTCCTTAAGAGAATCGGGAGAGCCTTCCACTGAGGGGGCAAACAATCCGCCAGCCGAGAAATTACGCTTTGACAGCCCGAAGAATGTCCCAGCCTCCTAGCTCCGCTAGCTTGAAGTTGCAGGTCTCCTCGCCCTCCTTTGGCACCTCGAACAAAGCAGCAGGTTGGAAGCGTCACATGCAAAATATGTGCCGAAATATGCCGCAGGTTGGTACATTTACCTGGCAATCTTGCTGAACCCCTGGTCAATGCTGTGGCCTAGCTTTGACAATTTGCTTTTGCACAAGTCAAGAGCGGTCTATGAATTAGCTTTTGAGCGAAGTTTCATCAACAACCATAGGTTGAGTGGAGGGGGGGGTAAGTCGGATGCCCATCGGATGTTGAGAACAGTCTCCACATCTTCTAAACTGATACAAATGCCTCCGCAGACTCCCAACAAGCCCATAACATGGTGCGCTTACAAGAAAGCAGCCACGACCAATTGGCGTTTCCGGCTTTGGAACCTCCCAACACTTGAGGCCACGCTGTCACATAATCGTTTTGCCCAGTCGCAGAACCGCACGTCCGACTGAAGAAATGCCCTAGATGCACCAGTTTGCTAACAGACGAAGCAAACTGACTGCCTTGCAGCAGAATAGAACAGCTCTCCCTCACCACGTGTGTCCTCTGGCACAAGCCCAGGCTCCAGCGTCGCCACAGCTCTCTTTTGCCGGCATATCCAGTTAGGACATGCTCGTATTAGAAGCCTGGCCAAGTCAGGCAGCTGGGTATTCGGCATCCTGGGCTCCGGGCGATGCCAAAAATGTCAAAGTTGGTCACCATCGACTCTTTGCCTTGGATGAAACTCGAGGAAAGAGCTGGCCGAATCCTTCTAGGGCGGCTTGCATGTAGCGGTTGGGGGGGATGCCGCCACAAACCCCCTTCGTGAGGTGGCTCTAGCTTGCTCAAAACCGTGTTTTAGGATTGTTCAGAAGCAACCGTCCACAGCAAGAGGAACTCTTAACTATATTGCCTTCTGCTTCAAAAAGGCGCAATGGGAAAACTCCTCCCCCTGAAATGGCGTGGTGAAATCTCTTGACTGTACAAGTAGATATTTGTGTTGGCCTTTTGTGTCAGAATGTGTCTCAAAGTGGGGCCAAACTTTCCATACCACTCTTTCCAACAGTCTATGCGTGTTTCGGAACAACTGCTCCTTCAGGAAAACGCGTTGGATCTATGCGAATATGCTGCTTCGAAAGCATCCCATTCGAAGAACTCCGGCAAAACGCAATCGGCGAAGTTGCGAGGATCCTATTTCTGGGATGACGTCCGCCGGTTCGCTTGTTTGTTGATTTCAGGTCAGGAAAAAGCTCAAGTGAAAGGTGGGCCACGCTGGCAGTCAAGCTGCTGATGGCGGCCTCGATCCACTCCAGGAGAGCGTCCCTGGCGTGCTTCCTGGCAAGCGCTTGACCAAAAATCGCTGGTCCAAGGGAGCTGGAAAGTTGGTTGAATCTGGGGTGTAGAGACAAAGGCAAACATGGTTTGACCACGGTGTTGCAATTGACCCGCTGCCCAAATTGCGAATGTGAGGAGCATACGGACAATTCGAATGGCTTTGGTACTCTGGCTTCCTGCTGCACGAAATCTGAAAAAGCAACATGGTGTGGTCCACCTCACTTGAGGGGGACTTGTTCCTCAGGGTTTGATTTTCAAGTGCAAGGAAAAGAGCAGAACAACGGAACCCTGAATCAAGAATCCGCCCCGCGTGGTGTGCGACTGAAAAGCCGACTCATGAGTTTCTCGACCTTTCATCTTGCACAAAAAAGAACGAATGCAATAGGACCGATAAATGAATGTGTCTGCGAGTCAAAGCTTGCGGTTGCAACAGGATGCCGTTGATTTTGCTGCTTCCCCTCCAGAAGCTACAAGAGGGAAGGGGGTTTCTCGCATTCTGAGTTTGAAGGATACGCCTCGCGCTGCCCAATGTCCAAAAAGTGTGCCCTGAGTTAGGTGGCTCGTGCAAAGTATTGCTGAAATACCTCTGAGCGTTGCACCAGCTGCATCAATGTTCATCTCATGGAGGAGACACCTTCTAAGCAAGAGGTGTTCTACGTGCTCTCTCTTGCTTCAAAGAAGGGAAAGCTTGGGAGGCCGCTCCTTTTTGAAATGGGAAGCTCGTTGGAAACCGACAAGGCACCTGCAACCCCCCTCCCTCCCCCGCCCCCCGGTTCTGCCTCCAGTTTACCTTGAAGCGGGACTCCGCATCGCCAGGGTACTTCCTGCGCCGCCAGAGTGGTGCTGAGGAGAGGGGGGAGACCGGGCAGGTTGCCCGTTCGGCCCACTAGGACTTCTGCAGTACGGGATCTTGGGATGGAACCCAAAGGCCAGAAGGCCAACACTGATGCACCATACTGTTTGGCGCAAGGTCAAATACATGATGCATACTCAAAGCCTGTGGCTTGTTCTTCACAAAACAAAAAATGACAGCACACCTTAGTTTGCCCCAATCCAAAGAATGCCTCCGCACCCGAGCCCTGGTCAAATGAGCAGGAAAGGAACATACAGCTCCCAAGAGCGTCGTGTTGATTTTTGCTGGTGGATGACAAAGTGATTCACACCATGGTGCAGGGCGCGCACTTGTGCTCTGCAACGCTCCACAATCATTCCGGAAATTCCACAAACCAAACCTAGTTGGAGGCTGTTATGGCAGTTGGCAACACATATGAAGAGGACAGTGGTACGCTCTGCACTGGAAGTAAAGGAAAGCTCCAAAAGACAACGAGAGCCTGGCGTTGAACCTATATAAACCCGAAAGCCTTTCATGAGTGCGGCAACTATGGTGAGGGCACTGTTTGCAAGCAGCCAAATCCGGCCAAATCGCGAGGCCTGGCTGCCTGGCGGCCATGGAGCACACTCCCCGACTTCGCGAGCGCAGAAGTGTCCAATGAAAGGACGGCTGGCCGAAAACGCGACACGGGCCTTTGAGCCGAGCCCAGTCCCTGGAAAACGGAGCCAAAAACGCCCACGGTGCTTCTGAAGCACCTCTCGGAATCTCTCAGCTCGCTCGGTCCTGCCCCAGCCGAGAGTGCGGCCGCAGTCATTGGCAGAACCTGCAGAAGAATTTGCCCCATGAAACCACCCGTCAGCCATGAATTCCCAATCATCAATTCTTAGATGAAATGCCCATCTGAAGCTAAAGCCTAAGTGAAAAAACATAGGAACAGGAATAGTAGTACAGAAACTGAAAGTAAATTCACAAGCATAGGTAGGGTGTCTGGTGGACCAGAGAACTCTGATGAATTCGCCAGTCGATTCAGATGTGCATTTTGTCAAAATAAGGTGGGACTCCCAAAATGGAGGTATTGATCATGGTGTCCCTTTGAACCAACCTGAAAAGGGTACGCTCAAAGCCCACACCCGTACCTCCATCCGCCGAAAACGTGGAGATCCGGCCTAAGGGCATCTGTGCCAACGCAGGAAAGGACTCCGCCATCTCCTCATCCGTCCAGATGAAGCCGTTGCCGGTGTCCTTGAGGCCCTCGAAAAAGAAAAAGAAACAAATGCAAAACGAGCCCAGTCTGATGGGGGAATACCAACCAGAAGCGGGAGGGTGGATATGAAGTGTCCATGTACATGTCCAAAGGGTCTCAACCAAAAAAAAAAACATCCGCCAAGTCTGCAAGCCCCGTCGCCTCATCCGCGCGGGTGTTGTCCGCGCGGAGGGCCGCAAAAAGAATAAAGAGGGTGAAGGAGGCCGTGCCGTCACCACCGCCTGGCCAATGAAAGCCGGCGCCCAAGCACCGTGAAAGCAAGTTGAAAATGGAAATTGACAAGGAAAGCTGCGAGTATGTGCACCTCTTCAAGACACGGCAGATTTGATTCTCAATGGTCACCCTTTCAGCAAGGTGACCATTTCTGGACACTTTGACAATTTGAAGCTGCTAGTGCTTGCGTGGTTTGCGCCCACATTTCGGCAGTCTCACAAAAAAGAGGCATAGTTGAAGGCCAAGAAAAGGCAATTCGAACGGAAGCCGGCCATTTTGAGGGGCCGGCATCTAAGGCTTCCACAGGGCTCCTGTTTTTAGACCGGGGCTGTCTTTCCATGGCAAGATGGTCCTTTTGCTTCAAGAAATTCCCGTCCAAGACTGGAACACCTTCCCGCATCTCAGCTTGCTTCTCTGGCCTGAGATGATCCGCGGCCGTGCGCCCATCGCCTCCATGGCAAAAAGGGGAAAAGGGTGGGGGGGGGGGGCCTGCAGGGGGAGGCTCACCCCCGGGCTCGTAAATGCCTAAAAGGAAAGAGGGCCAACCTCTCCAAAAAGGCAAATTTGAGCATTTGCCCAGAGTCCTTGGGCATTTGGTACGAGAGCCTGAAACTCGCCACATGATGGGAGTTAGGCCGGTTTTCCAAATCTAAGTGTTAGTAGGAACACTCTTGCAAGTGGCTGGTGGACATAAATCCCCACCACACGAATTGAGAGTTTGTTGATGCCCACCAGAGCGAGTCCAAAACCCATTGACTTGTGGTTCTGCCAAAATGGTCATGAAGGTTTCTATAGGCCCTACTATACAACCCCATTTGACCAGGTAGTAGAACCACCAACTAAGACGGAGTGCTGCTCACTTGCAGACGCCGGCCAATTTGTTGAGTGGCTACTAACCCTGCTTCAAAAAGTCGCCTGCAACCCACCTCAGCGACTTACTAAGCAAGTGGCGGAGTATTAACAACTTAAACCAAACATAGCCCATCCTATTAACCTGCCTGCTAACCCAACTTGAGCCTTATTGCCCCATACTTTCAACCCAACATTGACCCAATCTCCACATCTCCGGCGTCTCCGGCATCGGCATCTCCGGCCTTGGCCTCCCTCGCCGCAGCGCAGAGCTCTAACCTCAGCAGGTCCAGCAGACCCCCGCGCCGCTGGTCCTGGGGAAGTCCGGCGGCCGGCGTCCGACGTGTCCGGCGTCCGGCGTCCGCTTCTCGGGCGAAAACGAGCCAAAGGAGCGAGCCATTTGCTGGTGCTTGGAGAAAAATATAGGGCGCCTGTAGGTGAAATCGCTGGAAACAAGAAGCGATTGGAGACCAAAGAAATCTCGTGATCTCGAGCATGGATGGGTGGAGAGGTCTACCCAAAACTCATGGTAAAGACTCAAACAGGTGGCTCACCCGCACCCTGGCTGAGTTCCTTCACTTACCCCTGGCTTGCCGGCTTGAATGGAAGGAAGACGGGGTTGGCGAGCGTATGGAGGTTGTGAACAACTTGGGACCTGCTTTTGGGGCTGCTTTCGAACATGCAAATGCCTGTCCTTCACCACATCGATGATGTTGAAGAACCGGTCCTTGTGCCAACGCAAGCTCCATATCTGGCGGGGTATCTGCTTTCTTGACTTCAAGAAGCTGCTTCCCTTTCCTCGCCGTGGCTTGTGCCTGAGTTCAACACCATGCCTGGTACTAACAACACCATTGAGCCAGAAACATCAAATCTGGCACGTCGCACAATACATTTACCGAAACCCTGCTGTTCGACCCAGCTTGTGAGAGCCGCAATGCTTCCGAGGCCTCTTCATCTTGGGCTTACTGTGGCCCTTCCCTTGGGCAATGAAACTGTCAGGCACCAATCAACAACGCACGTGAGCCAGAAGCGACGACAACGACGGAAAGCCTATTCTGCTCAAGTGCATTGAAGTTTGCCCCTCACAAGTCAAAAGAAGAAGAAAAATAAGAACAAAAAGAAGCAACAGCAAATCTCCGATGCAGAGCAAAGCCGAGCGATTTAAGAAAGGCCACAGAAGCACGCAGCGCGAGCAAACCAGGCTTCAAGCATCACATGGCAAAGAAACCACGCATCTCATGAGAGGTGATGAGTGGGTTTTCGGTGACTTCCCAAAAAGATCTCCTGATAGTAGGGTGTACACCTTGCGATGGCCAGGATGTCTGAGCCAGCCATGGCGCCTGCCAGGTCTCCATCGCGCGCTCGAGCGGTTTGTTGGGTCGTATCAGAAACGGGTGCCAGTTTTTAAGGCACAGCCGGCCATCCATGTGCCAAATGGGGACCTCACTACCTAAGGAAGGGATGTGCACTACCCCTTACTCTTGTTCGCTGCCATTAAAAGCCATGGGCCAGTTAATAATCGTTTCAAGGAGTCTTTCAACTTCCCACAAACACTTGACGAGGAATCTGGTGTGGTCATAAGCCCAACCGAGCCAGCCCGACATCGATTCCGATCGGCCGCAACACGAGCCCCGGCTGATCACCCAGAAACACGAAACTTTGGCCTTATCCTCTTGGTCCACGGATGCCTTGCGCCTTGCTAAGCTGGCCATGCGCACGAGAATCAAGCCACTTGCTCTGATTTGGGGCTCCAAGGCCTGCATTTGCAGCAAGAAGTGGCGTGTTGCATGTTCAAGGGAAAGTTCCATCAGGCCTGGGGTGACGCCGCATTCCCATCCCCACCCCGGGCCGCCAGAACCGGGCCTGCAAAGGGGTTGATCAGTGCCTTGGCTGTTTGGGCCGAACCCGGGGCCAAAGCCCCCCCCCCCAGCGGGTGATGCGGGGGGTTGGTGGAGTTCTCAAGGATGGACATTCCCAGGTTGCATGATGCGCTTCATGCAACAGCGGTGTGCCAAGCAGATGAATGCTTCAGCGCCCTTCGCGCGCTAAGCTCGGCAAAATCCGTCCTTGACCGGGGATTTTTAGGCCATGGTTTTGCCACGGGAAGACATACACACATGGGATTTGAGGAGCTTCTGGATCGAAGTGTCCTAAAGCCCACTGTCAATCAAGTTAACCTAAACAAACAGAAGGGCCAACCCCGGGCCAAACCCTCCTACTGGCGTTTCAATGAGTTGCTTGTTCAAACCAATGTCCCACGCCGCGGCAAAATCTCGTGCCAGCCCAAGAGGCCTGGCTCACCACACGTGTCACGGTGCGTCACCCTGGTGCGATGCTTTTCTTTGGGAGATGCCTGGTTGTCCCCCAAGCGAATTGCTGTATGTCACCGTCTCCGGTGTGTCCTTGCAGGCTACTTGGGGTCAACTGGCACTGAGAAAATGCCTTCGCCTTCTGTTTCCCAAAGGTCACAGCTGCCTTGCTAGAAGCAGTCCCGCAAAGCCGCAGGTGATCCGTGTGTGCGAGTCATTCTAAGACTTGTTCCTTTTAGCCCCAAAACATACACGAGCAAGCAAGGCCGAATGGATACATTGTCAAATATCAGGGGAGCCCGCCCAACAAATGGCCGATTTGCTTTAGCATCCTGAGAAGGGTACCCTACAAACACCAAAAAAAGTACATCGTCTCCGCATCGCTCCTTGCCAAGCTGCCAGCACTGGCACATGCTTGTCTTTGTCAAAGTGCGGGAGCCGAGTGTCCACGCCGTAGCGGTTGGAGGGGAAGTCTTTGTCCTGAGCCGAATCTGCCGAAAAAATCGAAGGGAGGAAGACAGTGGTTCCCGGCTGGGAAGGAAAGACTACTCAGCCTTGGTGGTTCTCTGGTTGGACAAAAGTGGAGGAACGGTGCCATCATTATAATTTTAAAAAAATGTCGGTGACACCGAGTCGCGACCAGCTTGAGTCCTTGAAACAACTTATCATTCTGGTCCAGAAACAATACTGTCCAAACAGGCATCCACATCTGACCCCCAAAATTGCGGGACTCTTGCAGCAGGGGCCAGCACATACTAGCACGTACTGGGCAAGGCCGTGCCTATGATCCAGCAGACCAAAAAAGCCGGCCATAAGTCCAGTCCGCTAATAAACAAAATGGCTCTTCCGCCTTGGCCCAAGCATAGAACACCCTGTTTAGCCGCAAGCTGCCCGAGTAAGATCCAAAAGGGTGAATGTTGTAGCACCGTCTGCAATCAGTGGCCGGAAAGCAGGGCCAGAACCAAGCAACAGCCTAAATCTCCGCAACGAAGTCACATGGGTGTCGGTCAAAACCAATGGGATCCCATTTTAGGATAGGTGCATTCACCACCCATTTTAGAACCCATTTTCGTGGTTGGATTGAATCGGATGTTCACTGGGGGCTCACCGATTTGGGTTTTGCCCCATGGCCTCCTCCCTTCCTTCCAATGGCCCTGACAGCGACAGGGCGCAATCTTCAAGCCGCCCGTCCGCATCTGCTCGTGCGTGTGCTCTAACAACTCCTTCAGCTCCTGATGCCTTCGTCCAGAGGAGACTCTGCGTGCAATGGTAAAATGGCTCTCTTTTGTGAGGAGACTCAAACAAAAAAAAAGGTGGTAGGCAGTATGGCTTAAAGGAACCTGTCGAGCAGAAAACCCGGCGACCACTTTGGTCCAACATGGCCCAAGTGCTTTGCGACGCGTGAAAAGAATGGCCAGGAGGTGTACCTGGTGTGGAAACGCCGGGTCGCACCGCGTATGCCGACGCAAGGACGCACAAAGGGCTCTGCTCAGAGCTTTCAGCTCACCCATCACAAGCAGCTTGTTGGCCCGGTCACTTTTGCGCCAAGAGCGAAACGACCTCGGTTACTACACTCTTGATGTCAGCGGAACATTGCTGAAACACACACGCAGACACAGACACAGACACAGACACAGACACGGACACGGACACGGACACGGACACGGACACGGACACAGACACAGACACAGACACAGACACAGACACAGACACAGACACAGACACAGACACGGACACGGACACGGACACGGACACGGACACGGACACGGACACAGACACAGACACAGACACAGACACAGACACGGACACAGACACAGACACAGACACAGACACACACACACACACACACACACACACACACACACACACACACACACACACACAATGACAAATTCGGCAGTTCTTAAACCTAGGCAATCCATGTCAAAGACTACAGAAGTGTCGAGCAGGTTGGACACGATCCTGGCTTCCAAAATCATCCACAGAATCACACGGCTTCCTCTCAATGTCAAGGCGGTCCTTCCCGCGCATTGTCTCGGTTGATATTCACCTGGAACTCAGCCTACCCAAACCTATGTAAAGAACTAAAAGGGGACACCTGTTTATGGCTGCACTGTTCTCTGCAAATGTTCGTCTGTCCAGGTTTCGATTCGTGTGGCTAGTTTGAGTCGACTGGAGCACGGCCCCGGATCGCCTGGCCACCCGGTGAATCTCGCCCTGCTGCTCCGACCAGTGCTCTCGGAACTGACGCAGGACCTGTTCGGAGACACAGGTGGAGCGTTGCGGTTTCTTGGCTGGAATTAGCACCCCAGCAAAAAAAATATGTTTTGCCTGGTTAGTGGCAAACAAAGGGGACCCAAAAAATGCAAAAAAAGCAAAAGGGGGAACAAATTCCGGGGAAGGGGAAATAGATGGGTTTCCCTGGTGGATGATCAAACCACCAGGTAAACCAGGAATCGCCATCTACTTTTCCAGCAAAACAACCAAAAGGGACACCTATGAGCGTTGCGGTTTGGGAAACCAAACCTGTGACATACATGGTGGGCCACCTTCTTTTTGGGGACGTTTAGAGACTCATGGGAACCAACCGAATGGCTTGAAGAATGCCAAGGAGTCCGAGACAGGTGTTGCCAGCTGGGATTCTGCAGGCCGGCTTCAAGCCGTTGCCATTGGGAGGTTGCTGGCAACTGAAGAAGGAATTGCAAGGGCCATGCTGTAAGGCCCGCAGTCTCTTCATCCATCCATCCATCCGCCCATGCATCCATCCGTCCATCCATCCACACCACCCCCGCCCCCAAGCCCCCAAGCCCTCCTTATTCTTTCCCGTCTCACATCCCATCCAATGAAGTCCATCCCTCACCACAAGAGATCGTGACCCTTTATATCAACCACACAACACCTACACTCAGGGATCCTTACATTATACACCTGAACATTGCCTTGTCAATGGTGATTTCCCCTTATGTTGGTGGAAAAAGCCATATTTCAAACGGGCAAAACGTATCTTTTAAGGAACCCTGAACACCTACACTCGTTCGAAGCAAATCCAAACTCCCGAAGCCGCCTTCTTCTCCGCGTCGGTTGGCTGTCGCCCTCGCGACTCCAAACTGTCCTGGCGGCTCGTAATTCCCAAGATGCTCGGTGCTCCTTTGAAGGATGCGGCGATCCAGACAACAGTTGGCGGGACTACTAAAATATGTTGAACTCTTAACTATTGTCTTAATTAATTAATGCAAGTGGTTCGCTTCATTTATATATTTACTTTCTTCGTGCTTGTTTGTGTTTACAAGCATGTATGCTTCTTGTTTTATCTGGAAGGATGCAAAAGGAAAACAAGGCACATCAACCAGTGGGAACCCCTTGTTTGAGGAAATGAAACCAGAACCAGGGGCGTCATTAAAGTGACTCGGCCCAGCAAAAGGCTCTCCGTCGGGATGCCGTTCATGGACAAGGTCAATGATATTCCCCCTAGTTCGACTCAGTGGGACGACCAAGTCCATAAAAAAAAGGTACCAAAAAAATGCGGGCTTAGTTTGAAAATGAATGGCTTCCTGTCAGTTCCCTTCTTGAATTGAGAAGCGGGCTCTCTGGCTTCCCCCAAATGCTCTCCTGCAGTTCACCCGCAAAGGAGCGCCCCCCGTGCTCACCCCCGGCCACACACACGAGCCTTCTTTTCGACGCTGGGCTCTCGCACTTGGGCCTGTGAAGACGGGCCCGCCTGCGGCAGCCCAGTCACGCTCTTGGGACATCTGGATGACACCTCCGTCTTTTCACAAAAGCCAATAGCTTGCCAAACAAACCGGTGCTACTGTGGACGGACGAAATCCATTTCGCACCACGTTGAAACCATGAGGAACTGTTATTTTGCTGGTATTTACAGGGGAATCATCATTCCAGGGTTTCTTAGGTGGTGCAGGATTTTGTCCATCCACAGTATAAGGCCTGTGAGAGGCTGATCAGTTCAAAGTAGTGCTGGTGACAAATACACAAGTCATCTGTCTTCTGTGGAACCAAATCGGCAAGCCTCCAAGCCTTTGTGGAACAAATCTGATGTGTGCAGTGTCTTGACGCACAGCTCATCTGGCTGATTAGCAGTGCAGGAACCCCTGGATGGATGCGTGCTTCTTTTGGAAAAAGTTGTCTCTTGGTCCGGGTGCAGTATCCTACTTCCGCCTTCTTCGCAAGACTGCGAAAGGGCAGCCTGTGACGATTTAACATAGTGAAGCGAGATACGTAGAGCTCAGTGCTGACCTTATGAGTCTCTAAACAGAGCATCTTCTCAAACGTCAAAGTTGCTGTTCACCGCTATCGTTTTGTCAATCATCAAGATACGCATATAGAGACCTGTTGCTATTGTGAGCTGATCTCTGGACCAAAGTGGCGCAAGCTGTCTGAGTTCTACGAAATGCGCAACAAGAAGATCCTGAGTAGATGAACCGTGCCATGTGAAATTGCACGTGTTCAGGGCAAACATGATCAGCATCAATCCTGCCGCATGCCTCGACATTATTAGCGGCTCTATCTGACATGATCTGCCTGGCCTTTTGTCATAGCTGTCGATACAAGCTTTCTTGTAACCTCTTAACTCTTACTTGATATCAGCCACTTACTACATAAGCTAACTGGCGTTGGCTGCCAAAATATCGGAGGCCGGATTCGATCATTGGTTGCGCGTCTTGTCCCCCAAATGTTGCCTGCATGAGGTGCACCGTATCAACAACCTAGGCTTACGTGCAAGACGAATGCCACGCAACATCAGAACGGCTGGATTCCGAAGAAGGTTCATGAATCCACTGTAGCCAGCAGCTGCAAGCAGCGGCAAAACGAGCACGAGCACGCCTTGTCGGACGGAGTGTCGTCCACAATGGAGAAGTCCTCGGGCTGCCATTGATCCATACTGCCTGTGCCCTTCTTGGCAGTGCAGTCAAAGACTCGAAAATACGAATTCGCATTCATCAGTGGGTACGGATATTAGTATTTCACAAGATGTATAAGGTGCAACTGGGAGATGACATGCGGCTCGAAAGGGGTCCGAGACCACGGTGGCTGCAAAGAAAGCCCTACATGGAAAGAGCCTCACCCTGGGCTCTGACCATGAGCCAATCGGATTCCCTCATAACTTACTTTGCTTTGGTTCCTTTGGGCCTTCGGCAAGCTTCTTTCACACGTGGCATTCGCGTTGGTCTCCACGGCACGGGGGTTCTCCAGGGTTGCGCAAGTGGACCAAAGTTAAACTGTGAAGGCCTAGACGTCGTTCCCACAGAGTTGCCGCATTCAAGCATGTGTTGGTGTCTCTGGATGGTACTTGTTCCCATAACTGTCTTTTCTCCTCCATGTCCATTGACACCCAAATCGGCGGCACCCTTCGGGATCAAAAGCTCAGATGTGCTATTGCCACAATAGGACCCCCAAAATGGTTGATTTCCTCGAGCTTGCAGAAGCAAGCCTGACCGGGGGCAAGGCTCCGTGCACCCCAAAAAAAAAAGGCTGGCCCAAAAAAGGCTGGCACCGGGACCCCGGCCGCGAAGCTGTCAGGCTCCTTTGCCTGCGGGCATAACAGGGAGATTTGACACATAGCTCGTGTATCAAAGGGACAGACAAAGTCGGACCCACCCAAATTCACTTAACACGGCTGATGCTACGAGGCCTACGCAGATAGCGGGCGCGTAGTTGGGTGCGACTGTCTGGGCCCAAGTCTGGCACGTTTGAATATACAAAATTTTACTTGTGTGTGTGTGTGTGTATATGGGTGTGAACTTCAATTAGGGACCCTCTGCTGGACATCAAATTTCGGGGGGGATTCATGTCCACCAAGCATTTGTCTTGTGGTTCCCTCGACGAATTCATGGCCATATATGGCAATGGGTCAAAAGCCCGTACCCCCAGTGAACATCCCAATCTCCACTAAAATAGACTAAACTGGGTGGTGCACCTACCCCGAAAAGGGGATCCCATTGGTTTTGACCCACAGCCATATGCAATCAGTGCTTAATTCGAAGCCGAGAGATCTTGGCTTGAACTCTGGGGTGCCAGAGAATTTAACCGGGATAAGATGAGGCGGAACAAACAGGTCTGTCTCAAAACAGAGAACTCCTTTTCTGGATCATTCTAAGGCGAAACACCCCAATGCTCCTAGGCAGGAGTCCTGCGGAAGCTCGCTTCCCATTACCTTCCTTTTTGAAATGGATGTTTGAAATGGATGAAAAGGTAGCACATGTCAACTGCATTTATGCCTCTATGAGTGTGCACGGAATAGCCATGCGCTGAATTCAGAGCTCTCTGATGTTGAGGCAAACTGGTGCAGCGGTCCTTTTCATGCGCTGAACTGGTCACTGGCAAACGCTCAATCATGTCAAACAAAGGTAGACACTATTGCGGCTACCATTGGCAAATACTGCATACAGTAGCTCTGCAACAAGTGCTGAATTGCTTTGCCAAACAGGACTGTGCATTACGGCAACTCGAACCCTGCATCCCGCCTTGTAGGTCAGACCTTGCCGCCGCGCTACATCAGCTTTTGTGACATCTGACCTCGCAGCACCAGGTGCCCAACAATGCGCTCATGCTACTTATGCATCACCCCCCTTGCCGGGTGTCAACGCGGCTTCTGTTCCAGCCCGGAATACCCAAACAGGCGAGGCGCAGCAGCATCGGCAGCTCGGAGGCGGGCTCGGAGGCGGCGGCCTCCACTTCCGGCTCTGACTGGCCCTGTCCTTAGGCCGTTGCCACAGTCTGTGGGGATCAAAAGGTCCCAAAATATTATATATATATATATATATATGTATATGGGATGACCATTACGGAAACCACCACAAAAGATGTTTTGGCGATGTTGCGTCATATGCTATGGGGGGTGATCAAAAGGTCCTTTTCATGGGATCATCATTGGGGAAAACCACCAAAAAGGATGATATGTCCCACTAAGTGGAAAAAGTTACCCTTGGTCGTTTGGGGGGGCAGGCATATTGATCAACCCCTGACGTCGGGTTTGCTGGGGTTTCCCGTTGAAACAGCCCAAATGAGGGATCACTGCTCCATGTAGATGAAGCGGAGCTTTGCAGAACGCTGGTCTCCGTCTTATGTCAGTTGGACAGTCGAGCTAGCATGTGTTGGAAGAGTGCACCTTGGAACTTGACTTGCTGAGCAGGTGCACAAAAAGTTACACGACGCGGGGTCATGCTTCTTCTCTCTTGCGTCTCACCATCACATACGACATACGCTTTGATTGTAAGAGAGTGAGAGGAGCAAAACAACGGAGATGCAAGGTTTCATGTCCCATCTGCTCAGGGAGCCTTGAAAAGCTCAGGCTTCAGGTAAAGCCCGAACAGACAGAAACAAATGTAGCTGGAATGGCTCCCTTGCACGCTCCTTTCGTCGCTTCTTCTAGACACACACACATACTGAAGTTCCACATACTCTCTTCCTCTCTTCTTCCCGCTTGTTTTCCCTTGGCCCTTCCATGCTCTCCTGTCCTCTCCTATGATCTTGACTCTTTTCGTCCCGCTTCTCCCCTCTGTTTGCTTGTTGTTCATTTCCCCGTTGCTTCATCTTTCGAGGCGCCTTTCTCGTTCTCTTTCTTTTTCCCTCGTTCTCTGTCTCTGTCCTTTCTCCTTTCTCATCTATCTCTTTTGCTATTTTGTCTGCCCTTGTCTCTGACTTTGCGCCTGCTTCTCTCCCTCTCTTTCTTTCTCTAGATCAGCTTACAAAGCGACCTACTTCGCCGTGGCACCT